AATGAATTTCGGAATACAAAATTGTAGTCCTCAAAAGGTGAGCAATTGGATTTGAGCACATTCCATTTACATATATGTTTCAGTTCAAAAGTTGCACATGCGCTACTATCATCATGTGTGTACAACTAGCATGGAACCAGGTATCACAGTCAAGTGTCATTCCATGCAGCACCAGTATTGTGTTGACACTTTGGCTATAAAAAAATCTGATTGTTTTATTCACCGCTTGAAATACTAGGCCAGGCAAAGATTTGCTGTCATGTTCACGTGCAAACAGGTTTTTCGAAAAAAATCATCCCTAAAATGTAAGACAATACGTGGATTTTCTATTAAGCCCCAGTCACACATTCACGGTTGGAGCTACGAATATCCACGGTTTACCAAGAATCAATCGATCACGATGAACCGTCGAGGTTCGTTGAGAAATCAACTTGCACTACGGTTTCAGGACGGATAGCCACGACAGTCCTACGGTTTCTCTACGAGTACAGCACGGTTTGTCAAGAATATAGACAGATTGGTGAAGAATATCGACGGTATTACTAAGAATAAGGACTTTAAGCCACGGTTGTCTGCGATTGGGTCACGGATGACCAAGGTTCTCCTACGAATAAAGCATGATATTGGTATTACAACCTTAGCAGAACCCGAACACATCCGGGCATATCCGTAGGACATTCGTAGCGAATTCGTAGAGATTTCTACCACCAATGAGCTACGAATCTCCAAGAATATGCACGAATATAGCCACAAATAACACTACGAATAAGTACGGTTGTCCTACGGATGTCCCACGGTTGCACCACGGATTAATTTTCATGACTGTTCACCACGGAAGTTATGAACAGTTTCAAACTTCGTCGCCCCTTCATGAATGCCCAAGGAAGATAACGGATAACCACCTATGGTTTATTACGAAATTCAAACCGTGGAGATCCAAACCGTGAATGTGTGACCTGGGCTTAAGCCACACCTTGGAAAGATGGCTATCAAACGTTAAGAAATTGAAACTAAATTTTGGTGATCCCCTGACGAAAGTCCACCTTTTACTCCCTTGGCTTTTTGCAAGAGGAACCATCCCAAATCCTCTAAAATCCATCCTTGTTAAGGACATTATTTGCAAATTCTTTGAAACCCCCACCCCTGAAAAGTACTGCACTGACTTGACTCTACTCTGCATAATCCTGCACAATCCTTCAAATCCATTTGGTGGAATTTCGATGAAGGATAAAGGAGGTATGGGGTCAAGGTAATTTGGGTATCTCATTCAGGGCAATGGGGGGAGTGTGGCCTACTGGTTAGGGTCTGTGGCTCATGATCAGAGGGTCAGGGGTTTGAATCCAGCCGCTGGCCATATGCTGTGTCCTTGGGCAAGCTACTTCACCTCCACTTGCCTCTCTCCACCAAAGAGTACAAATGAGTAACGGCATTAGCTGGGGAGTAACCTGCAATGGACTAGCATCCCATCCAGGGGGAGTAGAAATATTCTCAGACCAGACATAAAAGCCAGCCTGATGGGCCACATTGGCTCATGACAGACTTTACTTTACTTACACATTTTGTAGGGCAATTCCCTGTTTACGGAGATTACATTAAGAGCCTCCTGACCAATTTGAAACAACAAAAGGAAATACTCGCAGTGAAAGCAAATTTTAGGTATTTTTGGTACAACTCTAGCTCAGGCCTTAATGAATAACATGACGTGGTTAATGTAGTGTATAGCTGAATTAATTAATGAGACACAAGCATTGTAAATGACCGTTACGGACATTACACATTCTGACATTTGGTGTGACTTTCCGTACACATTGATAAACCTCTGTAAAGTTTCTTGCAAGAATGTAATGAAATAACTCTTCTTTGGTTTTTTTTGCTTCACTCTATAAAAACATCAATGACATAATTTACAAAAAGCTACTTTGATGTTATGGAAACATTATGGACGCTACGTTTGATTGCATTACGGACATTATGAGGCCGAAATCAACTTCACAATTGTGAAAAATCATTGTAAACATACTGAATCGTGGTTTTCTAAGTTGTGTGTGTTATTATTATAAAACATGAACCTTTCTCTCTGCCTTAACAAAACACTCGCAATAACAAAGTTTGCATTTTGCATGTGAAAAAATGCCAAAATGACTACCTAAAATCCATAATTTTAGCCCCCAAACCAGGCTTTGTGACAAAATAATATATCTGACCACATCCTACTGGCACACCACTCAACTGAAAGGTTTTATTGCCTCATTGTATTTGGTACCACATTTGAGGTTGTGCTGATTGTAATTATTAAGATTTCAATTAATTGTCCACTTTTCAGGATGCTGTTAAAGGGAATGTACAACATTTGCTTTTGCTGCAATTTTCAAAAATAAATGGATTTGGAGGATTAGTATGTTATAGAAAATATTGTTACACTGACTTGTTTCACGTTTTGGGTTCGTAGATGCTGGAAAAACCATATTATTGTAGTCTGGTTCCCTGACCCCACTTAAGATAAAACGGACAAATGTATAGACTTTGGGGAATTGTAAGATCAGAAAATCAGTCTAGCAGGGTTTTAGTCTTCACATGTGTGTAATCAATTGCAAAGAAAATGCAGACGAACTAAATATAAAAAAGTAGGAGCACTTTTTGAAAAAGGCCAGTTTTCTCCAACACTGGGCGGCCGACCAGCGTTGGAAAAATACAGTTTTTCTTGAAAACGTCAGCACACCAGGAGCCACAACTTTACAGGATGCTTTAGACTGTCATTCCCTAACAATCCAGTAAGATATTTCGTGATTATTTGATCATTTCGTGTTTTGATGTTTGCAAATGTTGTATCTTCCCTTTAAGCAATATTCTGATCTGGAAAGGCCCAAAAATGCACACAGCCAGCTGTTTTTCAACTTAAATTGAAAGAAAGCTGAAATTCAGTCCCAGATATAAAAATCACGTGACCCAAAGCAGGAAATCACAACCAGTCAAATGTGACCCTGGCAGCACTCATACCGACTTGCTGGTTTTCTAATCAAGTATTGAGTCAAAAACACAAGCTGGAACATCGATGGTCTGAATCACATGGCACGCAATGATTCATCTTTAGAAATACCAGCAAGGAAAAATCGCTTCCTCTACAGCTGTGAAACCAAATATTGGTAAACTCTTTTCTTCGTCTGTGTATATGGGTATGTTCGTACATTCTTGTTCTGTAATGGACCGATCCAGTAAGTTCCGCCCAGTGCGCACGTGGGCAAATTAACACGTGCTCCTCTCCAATGCCACGCTGCATTTTCCTTCCGCGCGCATCATGCGGGCGTGCACGCATGTCGGACTTTAGTGCACGCACGTCGGACATAGATCACGGCTGTGATTGGTCAGAACACCATGGGGCGGTGCTTACTGGATCGGTCCATTGTGGGGACTTCACATGTGTTGTCCCATGGTATTATGGGGACCAAAGACGCTGTGGGGAAAGAAGAAAGTCCACATAACTGGGTCCTAATTACCCTAACAATAAAAACATATAACGCGGTAACGGCTCGCCCTATAAAGCACACATATATACATGTATGCGTACCATGATTTAGGCTTAACCCAATACAAAAACTACATACAGTAAATTCCCGTTAAGTCTAGTCTCAAAGAATGGATAAAAAAACTTGAGGTGTCCAGATTTCTGGAGTTCAAGTTAAGCAAAGTTCCCGATTTTTCTACATGTCATCTACACATTACTCGCTATGCAATGGACACACTATCTGGCACACTTTCCTTCCGTTTTTCATTCTACAGGTGTATTGTTTTAGTCTCAAAGCATCGTTTTACTCAGATTTCATATTGTTCTGAGCTAAAACATGACAATAAACCACTCAAATTATGTAACTGTGTGTAACAAATCTTTATTTTGTGTCGTTTATTTCGCACCACGCTCGGGGTTTTCTGATATGCGGCGCAGTCACATAGCTGGTCCTCTTTAATCAATAGAGGGCGCACCAGCTGCAACAGGGCCAGCGGTAGCATTCAGGCTGTTACTCAAGTGCACACTCACTGGTTTCTAATACGGTCACATGGCCACCGCAAAGAGCCAGTGATTGGACTGCTGGCATGCGGGTTCCAATTGGGCCAGCGGTAGCGATCAGGGCATCTTGAAAGCCAGGATTCTTTGCGGTCACAGGCTGGAGTCCGATCACAACGCAGAATCCCCAAGTAAAAAGAGGAAGTCGTTGGGCAGTATGACCCATGAAAAAAAGGTTTCGCGATGTTGTTTACGCTTCTTTCTGGCGGTTAGGCTGTGGTTTCTTATGGACTGGCCGAACAAAACTTTGAATTCAACGGAGGTACCAGTGCGGGCATTTCGAGTTACGGGGGATATTCATGTACATAATACCCTATTCTCTTGACAAGAATGGAGTATTACTTCGAGATAAACAGAGTTTCGAGTTATCTAAATTTGAGTTAAAGGGAATGTACATCATTGGCTTTTGCTGTAATTTTCATAAATGAACAATTTGAGAGGTTTGTATAATAGATCAAATATTGTTACACTGACATTTTTGAAGTTTTGTGTTCGAAAAGGTTGGAAAAACCAAGAAAAACAAAAATGTTGAAGTAGTCTGGTTCCCTGACTCCACTAAAGATAAAATGGATCAATTTATAGATGATGGAAAATTGTAAGGCAAGGCAATCAGTCTAGCTGGCCTGCACCCGTTCATGAACATGTAACCAATAGCAAATAAAATTTGGACTGAAAAAATGGTAAATTTGGAGCAGTAGTTGAAAAATAGTTAGGTTTTTCCTACGCTGGTCGGCCGACCACCGTTGGAAATAGTTTCAAAAATACAATTTTCTTGAAAATGACTTCACACCAGGTGCCATAATTTTACAAGATGCTTGAGACTGTCATTTACCAACATCCTAGTAAGGTATTTTGTAAAAACTTGGTAGTTTTATTTTTCGATGTTTGAAAATGTTGTATATTCCCTTTAATGAGAAATAACTGTATATCTACCAGAATACTTACCTAGACTGTGACCCTGTGGAGCTAGCTGAGCTCTGCCGTGTGGACCCGCCGTGTGAATTCCTTCCTCCATCCTTCTCCGTCCCTTGTCTGCGTCTCTGAGACCTGGAAGAATCTTCTCCTGACATTGTCAGTGCGAGGAGTGGCCTGTCAAGTCCGAGGTCGTCGACAAAAATGTCCGAGTTACAGTCACTGGAGGAGGCTGTTGCTTCAGCCTGAAGTCATACAAATTAGTGATTCTAAATAAGACTTATTAATTTAATGTGATGAAACTAAAATTATATTTGAATTCTCTAAAATTATATTTGATTTCTCTATCGTTTTTTTTTCTCTAAAATCAAGAAAACACTGACATAAGGCCCCCCCAAAAAATGTCTCCGGTTTCTGGTATGGAGCTTGCCCAAAAAGTGGTGAGGCGACGCCGCTTTTTTTTTTTTTTTTTACCTGTTTTTTTTGCTTCAAATGTCGGCTGAGGACTGCAATTGGTGCCCGACTAAACTTAGTGAAAATTATATGGGAGTCCAGAGAGGCCACATAAACCTTATTCTCGATCATGACCCCATCTAAAAACACGTTAAAATTGTGCAGCAGCAGGATTCCAGTCAAACCAGTGAGTTTGGCAGTTTTGAGACATCATCTTTTGTTGAAAAAAAACCTTTTTCATTTTGGTTGAAGTTTCAAATCCAACTCAATTAATTTCTTTGTTCGACCTAATACGGCAATTTCAGCGTTACGGACATTACAAATCAGAAATGTTTCTGTACTTTAAGAGCTCGGTAAATAAGCCTGAAAAATACATTTCAAATCTTATACATCCATCTTCTGGTGATGGTCAAGGAGATTACAGACAGGGAGTTTTGGATCATTTCTCTGAATCATGAATTAGATATCATGGTTAATTGGCTCTGTCATGGACATTACATTTTCTTCCATAACACCCAATATTTCCCCTCCCCACAAGAAAGCTTATTACCACTTAGGACATCATTTGCAAAGTTGAAACCAAATTCTGCTCTGGTTTTATCAGCACAAATTCATCAAAAACCACTATTGCGATATGAGGATTTGATACGTACATTGACCACATCGGCTAAGCTGGGACCCCGCAGTACATCCAGGAACTCAGCATTCTTGCCTAATATTCTGGAGAATAACAAGAAACAAAAACCAGCAGATTGAGAGTCTTCCTGTTAGGCCAAACAAAACAAATATTTGGTCTCTGGTCAGACCAAAGTTCCGGAATTGACGCGGCCACGCGGCTTTTTTTTTTTTTTCGCTTTTTTTTTTTTTTCTTCAAGCTTGCATTGTACAGACAAGGTGGGGTACTATTTTGCTTTTTTGGTGTCCTCATGTACATTGGTGTCCTCCATAATTTGCCTTGGTGCTTTTGATCATTTGCCTTGGTGCAATTTCCCATTCCTTGGTGCTCTTTGGTAAAAAAAAATTGAGGAGGTGAGGAAATAGAGGGCGCTGTTGGAGCTACCACGGAACATTTTGGAAAAAAAAAAGATCGACGCGCATGATTAAAATCGACGCGCGCGCTGACCAGAGACCGACTTTTTTTTTTTTGGCCTTACATTGAAATAATGATTGAGTGGGTAAATTTGGCCCTGTAAGTGAGGTGGCCCTGGAAGTGGGGTGGCACTGTCCGTTTTTTTCTTGGCCTTACGACATGTGCAAGCAACAGCAAAGTACAGCAAAGGAACAAACACAGCAACAACAAAACTAACAAATGTATTTGTCACCTGCTTCCATATTAGGCCAAAAAAAAAAGTCTCCGGTTTCTGGTATGCGCGCGCATCGCCGTAGCCATGCGTGTCGGCAAAATGAAAATTTTTTTTTTTCAATGAAAGATGATGTCTCAAAACCGCCAAACTCACTGGTTTGACTGGAATCCTGCTACTGCACAATTTTAACATGTTTTTAGATGGGGTTATGATCGAGAATAAGCTTTATGTGGCCTCTCTGGACTCCCATATATTTGCACTGAGTTTAGTCGGGCACCATTTGCAGTCATCAGCCGACATTTGAAGCAAAAAAGTCAGGTAAAAAAAAAAAAAAAAGCCGCGTCGCCGCACCACTTTTTGGACAAGCTCCATACCAGAAACCGGAGACTTATTTTTTTTGGCCATATTTATAATTTTTTAGACAATCCTGATCGCGTGCCCATCCCGACTGGCATATGCAATTTTGCCTAGCACACGTAAAACTTGATCGGCATGTTTGGAACATTCAAATACCCGATCAAATCCAGGTTCGAATAATCAAATACGAAATTATTAGAAACTGCTGCACACTACTAGCAAGTGGGAGGGGAATGTAGCTCATTACCTCTGTGTAGCAGCCTGGTGTGTCAGTGACGTCTCGTACATCTTCTGTATTCTTTTCTTCTCATAATCCCTCATCCTTGCCTTGAGACGGTACTCCTCCCTCAGTCTGATTGCCTCAGGGTCCTCCTTTGGAGGCTCAAGATCCATGGTGAAGCAGGAGAGCTGGGGGAACTCCACCTGCAATTACAGGCCATATTCATTCAGGACGTTAAACTCATTTAGCAATAAAAGTTAGATATGAAGTAGTAGGCCTGTTTCTTGACAATTTTGTTTTTAACTCTTTCAGTGCCAAACTCGTACATGTACGAGGTATATTTGTTAGTACAAAAGCGCCAACCTCGTACATGTACGAGGCAATGTTCGTACTTAAAATTGCCAAACCTTGTACATGTACGAGGTAGAGTAAATGTGTTATCAAAAGGGGGCGCTCTCGCTCTTTTTAATGGTACCATTTTCATGCATGTACGACCTGTATTTATTTTTTCATTCGAGTTCTTGCGAGAGGGCGCAGCACTAAATCAAGAAATCAGCTAATTTGTAACAGCCTATTGCACAGTGATTATTTGACAGGCATGGATTGTTTGATAGGTAATATCAAGTATTCATGTTAAAGCTGCATTCCCCGTGTTCTTCATTCAACAAATGTGATTTTAATTCTTCTCTCGATTAATTTTCAACTTTGGTCACAACACGGATCCTCTACACAAGGATAAACGACTCAGCTGAGCTTGCGTACAAAATGTACGGAACGGTTTGTCTCGGGGTGTGATATGCTGTGTCCGCACATAGAACAATGCATAGAACATGTAGAACACGCACCATGATTGCCGACAGCTGGTATCCTGACAGAAATTTGACCACTGAAAGACTGCAGTCGCGCGCCGAGTCTCGCGCAAGCGTACGCACAACGTGCAAGTGCCAAATCAGGTCTCTAACCAGAAATTCGGGGAAGTTGTTTATCCTTGTGTAGAGAATCCGTAGTCACACACAAATCCGCCTTGTGAGCAGACTGGCTCCCTGTCCATACGTTACTGATACTAACTGTGGGACGGGAACCAGTGAGAAAGAAGTATTGTGGGCTTGTAAAGTAATAATTCAAAACAAAAAAAATTAAGTGGGTGTCTCATTCAATAGTGAACAATGTAGAAAAGGAATCTATTTTTCAGGGTGAAAACCGAAAGTAACATGGGGATTACATCTTCAAAGATAAAAGGGATTATTTCCATAGCATCTACCTTTCCTAGCTGTACTGTTGGATCTGGGTCTTGCTCTTTCAAGCCCGGTGAGGTCATCTTACGACCATTCTTGCCTGTCTTATCCATCTGAAAGGAAGTAACAAAGGAAACAAATACATTTAAAACACCAAAGGTCACATGTCATAACCACCAATGTGGAGTGCCGAGGCCTCGTGCTCTATGAAACTAGATCCTGGATTGTGGCATGGTCCAAATGGAACATTCCAAAGGAAGACGAACGATTCAAGTTTTGCGACACTAACAAAGGCTGAATTTCTTGTGACCCCTCTTTCTCATTTATGGATATATGGAATTTGATGGAAATGAATGCACGTTAACCCATTGTACTACATTGTATTACATTGTGTTTATTCACTGAAGAATTAATACAACCATAGAGCGCTTGGGCAGTTTTGGGCGCTACCGTGAGAGCGCTTGGGCAGTTTTGGGCGCTGCAGTGAATGAAGCCGGCCTCAGGTCGACCCTTAATTTGCTTGCGCCGCGATGGAACCGTCAGCATCAAGCACAAAAGTCATGGTCCGTTCACAAAACTGAGAAATCGTGTGATTCTGGTGGAACATGTGTCACCTCGACACAAAATGATCGTAACCATGCTCACGTCACATACAACGTGACGACGATTTATGATCCGGATGCGCGCAGCATGTCGTAACTGCACACAGGACGACTGCGATTGATTCCCGCCTGTCCAGACCACGTTCTGTTAAGATGCAGAAATTAAAATATTCTACTCTTGCGACTATTGATATTTTTTAGCGCCGACTGATGCCAATTGTCTAAATATTGTCACAGTTGCATTCAGATCTCAAAAAAAATTGGCGACTACAATGTTCCATAAGTCCGAAGATCAGGCGCAGCTTGATCCTGAAAAGTCAGTCCCCGACTGATCTGTGTCGACGCCCGGTCACCCTGAGGGCGGTTTAATAGGCAGGCCATTTCAGGGCTACAGTTCCTGTTGATAACTGACCTTCTTGAATTGCTGGGTAACCGCCCAGCTCTGACTCCCGCCTGTCTTAGTGCCTGGGCGAGAAGGTTCGCTGTCTTCATAGATCTGGGACAGGCCTCGGGAGAAGGTGTCTGTGGGTCCATCCTCTTGATTGAGAGAGGTCAATGATGACGTCACACTGTTACACAGGGACGGCTCTGTCAATGAAAGAAAATGTGATTCCAGTTTCAACGACAAATGAGACATGGATGGGGGAAGATTATTTATTATAGCTAATGATTAAACTGTTTGTTTTTAGCCTGTCTGTGACTGTGGCACAGCACATGATAGAGGCCGGTGTGCACATGCCTTTGGGTGTGCACATTGTGCGTATTGTTCCCATGTGCTACAGAGTTGGGTTCATACAGTTCATGCCGGGGTAGTTTGGCAAAGTGGAAATTGTCAACTAATTTCATATTGAAATAGAAGTACATTTTAATTGAACTTTGGTTAAATTAATCAGTTATCTCTTAAAATCTAGCACAAAGGTGGGTGAGGCGTTATGAAACAAATATTGACTGCTTTGAGTGGTGTAGTAAAACTAGCCTCCCTCGGTGATCCACGGAGCGTTCCATATCCCTCGGCTACGCCTCAGGAAACCAGAACGCTCCATGGATCACTTTGGGAGGCTAGTTTTATCACACCACTCAAAGCAGTCAATATTTGCATACTATCTAATATCATTTCCTGGTAAACACATCAGTGTTGTGATCGAGTACATTTCCATGAGTACGAGTACTTTGTCGTGAGTACAGGGCATTTTTTCCCATGAGTACGAGTACAAGTACCAAAAAAATTTACTCGAGTACGAGTACAAGTATGAGTTCTTTCCAAATGAAGAAGCAAATTTCAACGTGTCACCTATTTTGTAGAGCTTTTAGCTATAAATTGTTTTCCCATTAATACGAGTACGACTCTACCCAAAAATGTACTCAAGTACGAGTACAAGTACAACACTTTTCACGAGTACCGGTAGGAGCAAATTTCCATGGGTACACATTTTGCTGTCAGACTTGGCATTAAACAAACGCAGAAGCCTCCCAAACAGTAAAAGACTGATTCTTTTCCTGCATGTAGCTCATAATTTTTTTTTGTAATTCTTGCATAAGAACATCTGCAAGAGTATGGGTATGAGTACGAGTACTTTGTCAGGAGTACGAATATGAGTATGGGTATTTTTTTCTTGCGAGTACAAGTACGAGTACAAGTACAAGTATGAGTACAAGTACGAGTACAAGCACGAGTACAAGCACGAGTATGAGTATGGGTATTTTTTTCTCGCGAGCACAAGTACGAGTACAAGTACGAGTACAAGTACGAGTACAAGTACGAGTACAAGTACGAGTACAAGTACGAGTACAAGTACGAGTACAAGTACGAGTACAAGTACGAGTACAAGTACGAGTCTGAGTTCGAGTACGAGTACAAGCACGAGTATAAGTAAGAGTACAAGTACAAGTACGAGTACAAGCACGAGTACAAGCACGAGTACAAGCACGAGTACAAGTACGAGTACAAGTACAAGTATGAGTACAAGTACAAGTATGGGTACAAGTACGAGTACAAGCACGAGTACAAGTACAAGTATGAGTACAAGTACGAGTACAAGCACGAGTACAAGTACAAGTATGAGTACAAGTACAAGTATGAGTACAAGTACGAGTACAAGCACGAGTACAAGTACAAGTATGAGTACAAGTACAAGTATGAGAACAAGTACGAGTACAAGCACGAGTACAAGTACAAGTATGAGTACAAGCACGAGAACAAGCACGAGTACAAGTACAAGTACAAGCACGAGTACCCAAAATATGTACTCGAGTACGAGCACTACACCAATGAAACACATTTGTGATCCCAAACGGGTACTTTCTCTCAAAGGCATTCCTTTAACCCCACCTGTATGGATATCCTCCTGAGAGCCAACATGAGTGCCATAGCCCCCAGTCGTCAGTGCTTCCCCGCCTCCAAACAGCAACTGGAGGTTCTCTGGCTTTTCAATGTCGCTCCAGAAGTTCTCCAAGTCTTCAATGGTCCTGAACTTTCCTTCCTTCATGAGTTTCTCCTCCAGACAAATGATCTGAAAACAAGGAGAGTATCAGACAGCTTGTTGTACTTCTTAAGTCTAACTTGGAGGACGGGCGAGTCTTAACCAGTGGTTATTAACTGCGACTCTTACAACAGAACAATGCTACTTTCCAAGAGTTTTGAGAAATGTCATTTACCTTTTTCTATGTTTCAACTTACAAAAAAAGTCTTAAAAAAGTACAAATGGTACACTTCTGATAAATAAGTTTGATTTAGGGCTATCCCGAATATACCAAATAGTCGAATATTCGATCATCAACCGAAAATGCGAAAAGCTTTCTGCCGGTTTGATATTCGAAAACAAACAAATCTACGCACATACACACACAACTGGGATTTTTTTTCCTTAAAGTTGCGGCGTTTTTTGTCAGGTGCCACTTTTTTGGTTAACGGTCACTTTTGTTGGTCAATGGCGGTTCATTGCACTGATCTCTGGATAGACTGGATAGCTAATAAAGAGCCGCACAATGAATGAATTTGACGCCATATTGGTGAGACCGGCTGGTGATCTACAAAGGACAAGTTGCCGTCTTTATAGACAGCATGATTTCTTTTGTAACGTCACGGTTCACTTGACTTATATTTTGACCACCACCACTGACCAACTGACCAAGGTTTACTACAATTTTTCTAACGTTGTGGTTACTTTTATAATGCCGCAAATCACTTTTTCGGCGTTTTTGAAATAATAATCACTACGGAAATGTGTCCCTTTTAGAACATCATAATATGTGTACGTGACCAAAATGCGCGTCAACTGTTGATACAACGCGTGTGTATTTACGCGTAGAACGTTCGTATTATACGCGGCCATCTTCGTGAGACCGGGGGCGAATTGGTCAATATGCAAAGTCTACTGTGTGAATGTTGTATGCATATCTGCTATCCAGTCTTTATATAGAGATCAGTGGTTCATTGTTCACATCCGTTTAGCAGGTTAAAGCCCTTTTACAGTTATAAAATACTTACTGCGCAACACACTCCAGCACCACATATCGAACCCTGCACGCAACTTGTAACTGGCGCACTCTTCGTGCAACTTTTCACCAGCGCAGCATGCAGTTGCAGCTGGCTTTCTTTCAATATCCAAATATTCGGTCAAATGCACTTTCGAGTAATCAAATACTGAATTATTTGAAACTGGACAGCCCTAGTGTGCTTTGTGATTTTGCCCTTGGGAATAATCTGCAGAACAATTTGTTGCATCAAAAAAGTGGGATAAGATCTGCTTGCTCTAGACTCTAAACGTGACGAACATAAAGCACACAGCACAAAAGTAGTGAAACTTGTTATTAATCTACTTTCTTACATCAGCATAATACCATTTTTGAGAGCAAAAAAGCTAGAATAATTAGAAGAAATATCCCCGATGTATGGAAATTAGCATCTTACCTGATGGAGCTTGGTCCGAGGAAGGTTTTCCAGGAAGGTGTTGTCATGATTCAGTGACGACTTTTCATGCCGTTTCTTCAATTTGTGTGATTCCCTCTTCTACACAATCAATCCAAAACAAAAAGAAACAATTCCATCTGCATTTGAGTCACATTCGTAGGAAACAATCCAGGGGCTGATCTCAGGAAGAGTAACTCATCTTTACTCACGACTCACCCCAGGATCGATTTCACCAAACTTAAGATACATTTAAAGCATCCTAAAGCCTAGTTTCCATATCAACGTAAGAAATGCAGCGAATAACGCAAACAAGACCTAAACTGCAACGCACAAATATGGAAACATTTCATCCGGAAATGGCACCGACAACCCGCACAGACGCAAACAATCTTGCAGACGAAGGTTCCGCGCACTGCCTGCGCAGTCTGCATAAGCTTAATATCGATATGGAAACCAGGCTTAACTAATACTAATCAATGGTATTGTAGCGGAATTACCAAATTACCCCGGACGATTTGTTCCCCCCGGTGGTCACCCAGCAGGTGTGGTACCTCCTTCAAGAGACCCAAGACCGGTGGAGTAGGCCCGTTAGGCGGAAATCATGTACCGCCTAATGCACAGGGCTAATGACTGGACCCTCAGTAAACCTCCTCGGGAACAGACAGCACACAGGACAAGAGTCAATGGGACAAGAAAATAATGATGATGTGACCTCCTTTAATTATCACTCGATTAACTGCTGCTTGAACCTCCCAGTTATCGATTAAATTGTACCCTCAATAATTAACTGATTGCTGTAATTACAAGTAAATAAATAATTGAATGAGTGCCTCTGATCAGCCTAACGCTAGCTGTGCCGCCTCCCAGCGATTGATGCGCCTCCTAAAGTCCTAGTTTGGATCCTCCCGTTGTAGCCTCTCGAGGCTACGAGTGCCTCCCGGCCCCTAGGGTTTCCAAAGGTAAGTTAACTCCCTTCCCCTAGTACACGGACCAGAAACTAATCCTAGTTTCCTTATCGGCATCCCACCGCAGTCCCACTCAAGTATTCCTAACAGTGGCCCACGCTCGAATCGACGTAGCGCACACTGTAGCCTCCAATTCCTGAGCTCAGCGTCTGAACACGCACTGCCGCTCGCGCGTTGATTGTGTGCAACTAGTGCAGTAGCGCTCTAGCGCCCTCTGTAGTTAGACTCTGATTTCTTGCTCGCGCTTGCTCGCGCTCGCATCGCATAGCAAATCTCGCTCATTTGCGTTACAAAGCCTCTTTATTGCTTTGACCGTCCCGGTCAAAAAGCTAAATAACAAAATAAGCAAATGAGAAAATTACATTATCTGGTGAGGTTCAAGGTTCATACATAATGGCGCATCAAATAAATAACATAAGCGCCTCCAAATTTAAGACATCGAGTGGACAACACCTCAAGCGCCTCTAAACCGGGCGCCTCCTTTTTAATTTAATCAAAATGAGGTGAAGTCCCTGTATGAAAACTTAACAGACCTTTAGATAAATACAAAACGTAACAACTTTTAGATAAATACAAAACGTAACAAACCTTTAGATAAATGCAAAACTTTTAGAAACTTTTGATGAATAGAAACTTATAAAACGCTAGGTAACTTTTAAGAAACTGAACAACTCAAAGTAGAAACTCTAGGAGGTGCCGCTCTGGAAGCCATGCTCGAATTCCACGTGGTATACTCGATGCTGCCGGATCTCTTCCACTTTCCTCCCGTCTGTGTCGTAGCGGATGGTTGTGGTGTTCTCGACGACCTTCTTGACTTTTCCCTTCATGGCTGGCAGCTGTATGGGTTTGGCCGGCACCACATCCGGTGGGGACGTCTCCTCTACCTCCGGAGATTCTCCATCTGTAGCCTCGTTTACCTTCATCATGGCCAACATTCCACGTGGCTTCCCGCCTCCAGCTCGTACGAATGGCCATGGCGCCTCTTTAGCCTCCCCAAAGACCGACATTGGAGACGGTGACAACGAGATCTCGGGCATCTGGGCTGGAGCACGAACGGTTAGATCCAGTGGAGCATTACCCTCAGCTTGGCTAGCAGACGACACAGTCACCGACGGGGCCTGGCGGTGTTTGGCTTTGCTCCTGTCAACGGACGGCGTTTCCTTTGTCGTCTCCTCCTCCTTTTCGCGAGGTCAGCTGCTGCTCCCTGCACTCCTGCTCCGAGAGCGATTTCTTCGCTCCCCCTCGAGCATCTCCCGCGCCTCACTCCAGGATGCACAATCTCCAAGATCCCTCCGGGATAGCTTTAGTCTAAGCGTCTTCCTCGGCTGCGCCATCCGTTCCGCCTCTGTCTCAAGCGCAATTCCATCCACCTCATCCAGATACTCTGGGTGTTCCTTGCTGTAGTGGCGTCTAAGATTGTCCTTCCTGTTGGATCGGACTGAACAACGGCGGCACCAGGCAAACAGGGATTTCGCTGCATGCTCTGTCCGAACGTGGCGAGCTAGACTTGGCCTCTGTTAATAAGTGCGGTCACACTGCTTGCACTTAAACTCCTGTGGTGGCTCTTGTCCGTCCATTTTTGTCTCTGAGTTCCAAAAGAAGGAAAAGAACAAAACATCAAATTAATTATTTGATCACTATATATTGAGGACACACGGACAACACACATTGTTCCCGCAGAGGTTTATCTATAGCGAGAGGGCAGTCGCCTCTGCCTCGGCGGATTCCTCCTCACGGGCTCATGATTGGTCTGGGTTCCCCGGCCAACATCCTCGTCGAGCTCCAAGGCTTCGGTGTCCTCATCTTGTTGCAGTGGCTGAAGCAGTTCCTCATCCAGCACGTCTCTCCTCTCATCTGGCGAGGGATCGATCTCACAGTCGGGTGACACATCTGGTTCAGGCTCTATAACACCGGCGGGTGGGATCTCTGATTCAGACTGAGCTGGTTGGTCCTGGTTACGCCTCCCAGGTGAGGGTGCTAGTTGTGGTGGCGGCACCTGCCACGCCTCCAATGCCTTACCCTGATACTCCTTCAGTCGGTCTGAATGCACTACCTGCATTCGCCCCCGTGGTTTCCTCTGTATCCTAAACGTCACATCCGAAAGTTTCGTCACAGCCAGACGAAATTGTTTCCTCCTTGTGCCTTGCATCCTCTGCTCGTCTATCATACGTGCGCTTTTGATGCCTCGCACTCAACCTGAGTTCTTGCCTGGCTCGGTCATGAGCCACTTGCATGCGATGCCTCAATTCCTCTCCATAGTCTGTGTTAGGTTCATCTCCCCTCAAAGGTGGTGTCTCCGTCGTCAAGTCTATCGGCAACGCAACCTCCCGTCCGAGCATAAGCATATTCGGGGTCTCTCAAGTGGACTCCTGAGGAACTGACCTATAGGCGAATGTAGCAAATGGCAACTGTTCGTCCCAGTCCCTCTGGCCTCGGCTCGTATCAAGCATCATTGACACTGTAGTTATCAGTGTACGGTTAAATCTCTCGATTAACCCATCGGATTTGGGATTATACGCCACTGTCCGGGTCTTTCTTATCCGAAGGATCTTGCACATTTCGGAAAAGATAGCAGACTCAAAGTTACGCCCCTGGTCGGAATGCAGCTCCCGAGGTACCCCATACCGGCATACAAAGTTTGTCACAAAAGCTTTAGCCACGTTGGGAACTTGGCCATCGGGGAGGGCATAGGCCTCCATCCATTTGGAGAAATAATCTCCAACGACGAGCACCCACTTGTTACCCTCTGTTGACACTGGTAGCGGTCCAACAAGATCAAGGGCCACTCTTTCCAAGGGAGCCCCAACCTGATATTGCCGTAGAGGCGCCCTCCTCTTTTTGGGAGGCGACTTCCGTTTGGCACAAATGTCACACTTACGACAACAGGCTCTCACGTCTGCTGCCATACCACACCAGTAAAACCGAGTCTTTAGCCTAGCTAGGGAACGGCTTACACCGAAATGGCCTCCGCTTTTTCCTCCATGTAATTCCTCTAGTATCGCCTCACGAAATTCGAAGGGTAGGATCACTTGCCATTTAATTTCCTGACCATCATTGGATACCCAACGCCTACTCAATACCGAGTGACGCATCTCTATTTGGTCCCATTGTGACCAGTAGACCTTAGCTGTTCCAGCTCTTGAGGAAACCTCGCTCCAATCCGGGCGACAACCAGACTCCTCTTTTGCCTCTATTACCCAACTGATCGTCGGATCCCTCAATTGGCCCTCAGGCAATTCTCCCAAGGTTATTTTGTGGCTCCAATTCGGTTTTTCTTGTTGTCACATACTCAGATGCCTCAACCTCCTTGTGCGGGAGGCCTTTCTCCAGTCCACTGTCAGTTATTGAACCCTCGGTTCTCGCTCCCTCGGTCGTATCCTTCTCATCCAATACGGGGTTCTGAGGTTCCTCGTCCGAGCGTCCGCATTGTTTGCACGGCTGGCGGGAGAGCGCATCGGCATTGCCGTGTCTCTTCCCAGGTCTGTGAACAATCTCATAGTTATACTCCCCCAGGACCTCCAACCAGCGAGCTACTTGGCCCTCAGGATTCTTAAAGGTAACTAGCCAGAGGAGCACCGCATGATCCGTCCGAATCAATATCCGCCGCCCATATAGGTACTGCTTGTAGTGTTTCAGGTACACAATGATCGCCAGCAGCTCTCTCCTAGTTACGCAATAGTTCCTCTCAGCAGCTCTATTGAGCGTCCGGCTGCCGTACGCGATAACACGCTCTTGGCCATCCTGTACTTGCGAAAGTACAGCTCCTATTCCGATGCCGCTCGCATCGGTGTCCAATACAAATTGCCCCTCTTGCTCTGGGTACGCCAGAATGGGTGCCTCCTGTAGGTGTTGCTTTAATGTCTCAAAGGCATTTTGGCAGTCATCACACCAGACGAATGGCCGCGCCTTATCCGTAAGCTTGTGCAGTGGACGGGCTATATCCGCGAATCCTTTGATGAACTTCCTATAGTATGAGGCTAACCCCACAAAACTCCTCACACCTCTGACATCCGTCGGAGTCTTCCATGATTTGACTGCCTCCACCTTCTCAGGGTCCGTTGATACCCCATTGGAGGAAACGACATGTCCCAGATATTTTACTTCCTGCCTGAAGAGATGGCATTTCTTAGGCTTCAGTTGTCACGATCAATCCTGCTACGCGCCTCTACGCATGTACATATGTAGATAACTTGTAGCCAATCAGCACTCTCCCAAGTCCCGCGCACGAAAGGGTGTTGAACAATAGTATAATTTATACGGTGCTGACCCGCATTCGCGAAATGCAGTGCTCGTGTTATGTAATGTTGCGTAAAACCGGCCATGGTTATTGTCGTGTTCGTCCATCCTTTGTTATTGTCCTGGTTAGGTACTTGTCTGTATGTGTCCGTGTGATGGAGTAATCAGTTAGTGTTGTTTGAGCTGTGATAGAGTGAGCTTGACAGTGTGAGAGCGAACCGACCGACAGCTTAAGACCTAGGGGTACGGCCTGGTATGAGATAGGCCCGTGGTCGATTCCTAAAAATTTCAGTTAGGATCGAACCCTTCGTCCAGTTTGGCAAAATTCAGTGCCAAAATCCATCATTTACCCAGTCGTCAGGTCAGAATTGTCGGTGTACTGTAGCAACATTCAACCTATGGGCGCAGACTCTCCGCTCAAGTTTATGCAACCAACAATAACCGTAAGTGTTACATAATTAAAATATGTTTATAAAGAATTAAGAGTTCAGAGAGATCCAAAGTTTAAGTCGAATTTAACTGGGGACAAATTGTTGAATTTAGTGACAAGGAAATATTAGATGTTGATAAAATGGAAACATGCGTAAGCCAATTGAAATGATTGATTGTGAACTACAAATGAACTTGTGGAAATTCGGTGTTAAAAGCAAGCCAAGAATTATGATGAAGAATGAGTATGGTTTAAAGATGAGTTTATTATTGAGTGGAAATATGTTGTGTTTAAAGGAATCATAAAGGTTTTAAGAGACTTATGAAAGCCACAAAATATTGCATGGGTTTTGGATAATATTTCCTGTTATAGATGGCCGACCCCTTTGACCAGACTTTTGCTTGACCCGCTTTGCATGATCTGAGGGATTTCCACTGACAGAGGACCATTGAGCC